AGGAAAGGCTTGGGGCCCAGGTGTGGGCACAGATTGGGCACCTCAGGCTCTTGGGGAGACCATCCAGAGCAGCCTTTTGTGCGCACCAGGGCTATTGAGTGTCACACTATAGCTGGGCTAGTATGTCCAGAAGCTGGTTACTCCAGATGCAGTATGTAATTCACCAGCACACTTTCTCAGCCCAAGAGTCCCTATGCCAGGGCCCTGGGGAGACGTGCCTCTTAGAGCAGCACCTGTCAGTGAGTCACTGGTGCCTGTCCTTGGCCCCAGGAACTGCTGCCTGTCCGTCTGTTTGAGTTGGCCTGCTCCAGCCACACCTTTGTTTCAGGATGGCCATGCCTCATTTTCCTCTGTTGCCTGTTGCCCTGAATTTCATGTTGGTGCCAGTTAACAAGCATTGTTAAAACAGAACCTTACAGCCTGGTTGTCTCTGGTGTACTGGGGTTGGACACCCAAGCTGAGGTCAGTTTATCTGTGGAATGGCCTTTTAGTCTGGGGTTTGATGCATTCGAGAGGCAGCTAGAGGCTCCCCCATCCACCCTGGGTGGCTTTCGATCTGGGTCCTTGGCAGGCACCTGGCAGGGGTCGTGGTGATCCTCAGGTGACGTGCCCAGGGTACAGAGCATGTGTGTTGGTGGGCAAGTGGGGCTTGTTCCAGAGCTAAGCTGGAGCCACAGGTGATGGGGTGGCACCTAAAGGGAACTTTGGGCAGGGGGAAATGGTCTGGTCAGCCCCCCATAGTCATGGCATCTGCCAGCCAGAATGGGTTTCAGTAACCCAGGCTGAACTGGCTTCCTTGTGACGTCGCAGGGAAGGTGCTTGCAGCCCCTAGGAGTTTCCTGTGGGGGCAGTGCGGGTTCCTAGGATCTGCTGGGCACACAGCTGGGGCGGTGGCTTGTGAAACAGCTTCATCTACTATGATGCTTTCAGTTATCTAAAATCAAAGCCAGAGTTCTGGTTTCACTTCAGCCCAACATTAGGTTTATTTACAGTTGAAATCTATTCATGTTTTGGGTAAGTAGTGTCACGAACAAGCTGATGGACAAACCCCCTTGGAGAGGGTGGCAGGCGCATGCCTCCCCCCAGGGCACTGTCCTCCTGCTCTGAGCATCCAACCCAGTTCTGGCCCACCTTTCTAGTCTCTTGCCAGCTATCTGCCCCCTCCTTGGGGCTACATGCCTGTCCTGGGTTCCTCAGCCCAGCTGCCCAGGCAGCGCAGGCCTCTTTGCCCCTTGAGCACCATCTCCCCTTCCCTGGCATTGCCACCTAGATACATGTCCTCTAACTGGCCTCACTGCTGAGGGGCTCACGCTATTCGGCACACCATGCACAGCCACCTCGTCTGTGGTTGTGGCATTGGACATTGAGGGACAGCCTCACTGCCATGAAACATATCCAGTGCACCCTCTACCCTTGGGGAGATGCTCGTGGTCCTGCCAAAAGAGCTGGCCTGGGGCAGGGCCATCCCTTGCCCACCCTTCTGCTGAGACGCAACCCTTCAGGCCTCCAACGCCTCCCTCCTCATCTCAGAGGCAGCTGTGCAAGCAGGTAGATGAGCAGTTGGGGACTGTCTGCCATGACCCTGGCATGTTTGTGGCAGCTGCAGGTGGCTAGCCACAGAGGGGGTGAGCACCGTGCAGCATGGTGGGGTTGGGCTGCCCGCCTCGCTCACCCCAGCTGGTGCAGGAGGCCACGCCCAGGCCCCAGGTGGCAACCCTTACAGGAGCCAGTGTGGCAGGGCCGCCTCATGGGTAAGGAGCCCTCCCTTCTGGAGAGCTGTCCTCAGCCGGGCAGAGGAGGCATGCTGTTAGGAGGCCATGCTGACCGTCAAGTCCGGCCCCGCTAGCCATTCCTGTGGGCTCTTTGTCACTTGAAGTACTTGTCAAGATAGAAGTCACCACCTCTTCCCACATCAAGCTATAGGCTTGGGGCATCCAGACAAGAACCAAGGATCGTCAGGACTGAGTTGGGCTCAGGAGAAAACCCCAGTGCAGGGGGCATACACTGGTAGTGGAGTTTTCTCACTCATCAAAGAACTGAGGACTGCTTGCCTCAGGTGGCATGAGGGCCATGCTCAAGTGAGAGCAGTGGGCCAAGCCCTCTTCGTTTGGGAGAGGTTCCCTGTGACCACCAGGCGCTTCAGCCTCTGGGGATGCTCCTTGGTTCTGGCAGCAGGGGGCACACAGCAGAGCCGACAGCCGAGGTGTGTAGAGGCTGCATCCCTCAGACAGGCCCCTCTCCAGACAGTGACTAAGCCAGGCATAAATAGGACGTGGGCTGACAGGTGGATTGGCTGGGGACTGATGCAGGGTCGGGATGCTGGGAGGACAGCCCCCTGAAGAGGCAGAAGCACATCTCACAGGTCACCTTCAGGCCAGTGACTCCAGAAGCTTGCTTTTTATATCTTTTTTTGAGGTCCGGCCTACGTTGCATTGTTTTAAGTTGCAACACAGTGGGCTTTGCCAGGTGTATGTGGTCATACCTCTGCCTCTCCACAACTGTCCCTCTGGTTGTGGTGGGAGGAGCTTGCTGCAGGTGGGTGGGCTCTTGGGCAGAGGACTGCAGAGGTTCAGGAAAGACACTTTATCAGTGGCTTTCAGCGCACCCAGTGCAAGCATGAACCAGTTCTTCCTGGCTGCCTCCAGCTGTGCAGGACTGCAGCTGAGCATGGGCCTCCTCCAGTTGGAAATCACCTGCAGTTTTGTCCCAAGCACAAAAGAAGGTGAGAAAGATGAGGCTGTATGGTGGTGATGGCCCCTTGCAGGGCCTGGGCTGGAAGGGCCTGCAGCCTTTGCACAGGCATCCCTATCACTTCATCACTGCTTTGGGTAGGGTAAGGCAGGGTGAATGTGCTGTTTGTGTCAAGGCTGCCCTACTCTTGGTTACTCATCTGATGGGTACCCTGCCTGCGTGTAAGCATGTATGTACCCTTGTATGCTGGGCCCTCAGTTACTGGAGACCTGCAGAAGCCTAAGAGAGTCCTAGGCCAGAGCTGTGCCCAGAATGCAGGGAGCTCCCTCAGACCCGCTGGAAAAGCTCTACAAGTCAGAAACATTTGGGGGTGCCCAGCGTGTGTCTCTTGCATCTTTGAAATGGCACCCAGCAGGTGCCCAGCAGGAAGGCAGCCTGCCCTTGCCCCAGGGAGTTGGCAGTGAGCTGCCTCTCCTTTTCTCCAGTAGTAAGTAGGCAGCTTTCTCTGGAAGGCACACTGCTTTGCACCTGTGTTACAGCAGGCTTAGGGTGAGGGCCATGGGAGCCAGTGTGACAGAGGAAGTGACAGGCTTGGGGCTTCCAGCTTGATGCAGAGGGATGTCCTAGTTGTCAGCTGAGAGCTGCTTCATGTTGGTGACACAGCAGGTGCCAGGAGAGAACCACAAATCTCTAATACCATCAGCTGTCATGTGAAAACTAACCAGAAAGATAAAAACAGTAAAACCTTGAATGGTTAGATTTGTTTAAACATTTTACAATTACTGTCGAGGTGCAGTTCACATGGAAGTGCACAGCTGGCTTTTAGTACATTTGCTGGGTCATACCATCATCACCCTTATAGTTTGGTTTTTAAAACTGAATTTTTCTGAATACAAAAGAAATATGTTCTTACTGTAGAATGGTTTAAACATCTGCAAAGCTCCTTCAAAACTGTTCTAGCAAGAAGCAGGCATCCAAGGCTAGAGCTTGCTGCATGAGTTTGGGGCATGTTTGTGACTGGCGGCAGGCAGGAGCTGTCTCTTGGGACCCATCTGTGTCCTACACAGCATTGAAGGGTATGTTTGGAAAGGCAGAGGACCTGTGGGACTAGCCTCATGGTTTCTGTCTAGACACACACAGACCCATTCACTCTCCACCCAGGCCTGGACAAATACATCTGGGGAGCATCGTGGTGGCGGCGCAAGGAAGGCGAATGCAGACGTGAAGAGCCTCCTCTCTGGATTTTCCATGGAGCCTCCTCTCTGGATTTTCCACCCAGCCTGATCATTAGAATTTACTTATGGAGGAATCTTAGAAACTGGAAATCATATGGCAGAGAAGAAAGACAATGTTTTCATGTTTCTAAACTTACTGCTTTTTAATAGTTTCTTTTCTTTTTACAAAGGAGTTTGTTTCTCTGACCTGTAAATTAATTTTTAAAAGCTCACATCTTAATATGAGATGAATTAACAGTTCTAGTCCATGTATTATACAGATTATAAACTGAATGAGTCAGACATGGAACAGCCTAACGTAGTAGGAAAAGTAGTGAGTGAGCTCACAGCAGCACACAGGATATTGAAGTGGAGAAAAGTTGTGTTGCCTAGACTGTGTCCTGATTTCCTCCAGCTACGTGATTCAGTCTTCACAGCAGGCCTGTGGAGAATATAGGTTTTATCCTTATTTTCCAGGTGAATAAGCTGTATACAGAATGTTAAGGAAGTGCACCAAGACCCAGTGCTGAGATGCAGCTGTCTGCCCTCAGCTCTGAAGCACAGACAGGACTACGTCTCTGGGGGCAGGAAGGGGGGATGCTTTGCGTGGCAGCCAGGAGTGCGGGCTTGCGTACCCCTTTTCACCTTGTGTGCAGGGTTAAGAGCTCAAGCCAGGCAGGCCTGGCGTTTTCAGAGTTGCACAGAGTACATTCAGTCCCCCTTAGGCAGTCCCTGGGGCTGGGGGACCTGGGGCAGCAACAGATGGGAGGGTCTTCCATATAATACCCAGGGCTGTGCTGCAGAGAAGCTTGATCACCTGCCTCCTGGGGAGCCAGCAAGTGCACAGAACTGCCTGGCCCCAGCCTTTGGGTCTAGATGGAGGAGCAGCTGCAGTGTCGGGCTTGGGTAAGAGAAACCCACCCTCCAGGTAGAGTCAGGCTGTGCAGAGCAAGAGGAGGTCAGCCTGTTAGTGGACAAATAAGACCAGAACATGACTTGCCTGCCAAGAAAAAAATTTTTTTTGGCCAAAGGTAAGTAACTAGGCCCGAGGTGAGCAGTGGGGTAATAACACATGTGTTCCCTCTTTTTCTTCAGTCATGGGACATTTTTTTCCGAAACACCAATGCGGGGGCACCCCCAGGCACTGCCTACCAGAGCCCACTCCCCCTGGGCACAGGCTTCCTGTCGGCTGCAGCCCGAGTGCAGCCCCTGGTGGAAGCCCAGCCCAATGTGGACAAGCTGGTGGAGGACCACCTGGCAGTGCAGTCTCTCATCAGAGCCTACCAGGTAAGGCGGCGCCGGCTGGCTTCCACCTGAGAGGATGCTGTCAGCCTCATGGGAGCACTGCCACTTAGCTGGCACCCGCCAAGCTCAGGGCATGCTGGCCACCAGGGCTGGGAGGCAGCAATACAGTGTGCCAGGGAGAGGAGCCAGGACAGCCTTACCCTACTTGAGCAAATCCATCCACCATGGTACCTGCCCTGCACACAGGTCCTTAATTCTTACATACGTTGGCAGGAAAGATTTACCATTAGGGAAGCATAGACAGTACCTGACCCTCAAGGGGGCGTATGGTCACTGCGTGGGGCATACTGCCCCGTGAGGCACTGTCCCCTTCCCAGTGCATTAAGAGGAAATAAACCCAAGGGGACCCTGAGGACAAGCAGAGCCCACCAGGTAGGGAGAGGCCACTGAGCCCACAGTGAGCCCTCCGGCTAATGGCCAGTCCATCAGAGGAAGGGCGGGCAGAGTCCAGACTCTAGCCTCCTGGTCTGTGGTGGTCCTGGCAGGGCAGGCAGGCAGAGGCGCTGCCCTGTTACCCCGTCTCCAGTGCTATTTCCTAGGGAATGGGTTCAGGGGCCTGGCAGTGGCAAGAGGGCCCTTGCAGAGCTGTATGATCACTCACGCCCTTCCTCCTGGTGCTCTTGACTGTAGGAAGGAGACTCACTGGGCACCACCACCTGCCAGTCCACAGCCTCAGGCACCCTACCCTCTGTGGCCTCTCTCATCTCAAATTGCTGGCCAGTAACTGTGGATAAAATGTTCAAGACTTCAAGCAAAGTTGGGAGGGGTTTTCTTTCTCCTTCTGGTTTTGAACAGTTCAGGTCAGGTGCTGGGGTCCCTGGGCCCTGACCCAGGCAGACCCAAGTGATGTGGGCTCTCTGGCCCAAGGGGCCCCTCACCTCCTCTTCTCAGGATATCTCTGTGTCCTGGGCTGCAAGGGCTTCTCAGCAGAGCAAGTCCCTAGCCCTTCACATTAATGTTACCCAGGGAATCCAAGGGCGCCAACAGGGGGACCCTTAGACTGCACATTTATCATAACCCCGGAGGTTTATCCTCCTTGGCAAAGGTCATTCGTGGACAGTACTGGTTTTATTACTTGGGGTGACTGGTTTGACCGAGGGTGACTTTTACGCCCACAGCCCGCGGCACCTGCTTAACGACTGCTTGTATTGTTGCTTCCAGGTCAGGGGTCACCACATTGCAAAACTTGATCCTCTCGGAATTAGTTGTGTAAATTTTGATGATGCTCCAGTAACTGTTTCTTCAAACGTGGGTGAGAATTAGTCTGTAAATGCTAATTTAATGTAATTTTACTTTTTTTTACCCCTTCCCTCTTTTTTTTTTCTCCTGTCCTTTTGTGTGTGTCCTTCCCTCCATCGCTGGCCCTTTCATAGATACGTGGGCATCATGTAGCGCAGCTGGACCCCCTTGGGATTTTGGATGCGGATCTGGACTCCTCCGTGCCCGCTGACATTATCTCATCCACAGACAAACTTGGTGAGGGTCTGAGAGCAGTGAGCACCGTGCTGCTCAGCTCCTCTGATCGTAGCTGTGAGCCAGGGCTTCCACAGACTAAGGGAGAGACTCTTAAGTTTCCTTCGTTATGATCACTTGAAATTTACTGGCAATGCAGCCTTAGAGTGTTTTGGGCAAGTTACTTTTTTCCCAGCTTTTCAGCCAGATTGTATGAGCCCAATTGTCTAAGTCTCAAAATTGGAAAGTAAAATTCTGAGCAGAAAAGGCTTTTGGCACAGAGAAAAAGATGGCCCCCCTGGGCAGGCAGGTCAGAAGTTGCAGACATGAGCTCTTCTGGCTGTGGTTTTCAGACCCCACCAGATGAGCCTTACTCACAGCTGCTGTTGTGCGGTCCGCTGGTGAGCCGTCAGGGCCTACCTTTGGCAGGGCGAATCCTAGCACGTTGTGCAGCTGGCTATCCCACTCTCACAGCCGGTGATCACACCGAGGAAACTTGGGAAGGCATCCCGGCGTGCAGGAGGTACATGTGGCGCCCAGGCGGCTGTCAGGTGTGCCGCACCCAGCCTCCTCTACCAGTCTGCTGCGTCTTGCACTACTGCCCTGTGCTGAGAAATGATGCACAACTAATCCTGATGTGGCCAGGTTGTGCACATGCTAACACCACTGATGATTGCCGCCCTGCCGCACTACTCTTTGTCTGAATAACAGTCTCTGATGCTCTGCGATGTCCGAAGACCCTTCTGGTATCACCACGTTATGACACTCGTAGTCAGGCGCTCGTAGGTAAGGTCAGAACCTAGCATAGGCTGTGGAGTCAATGTGGCAGTTGGTCATTGCTCTGTCCTTGTCTCAGAAGCTCCCTGATGGTGGGGGTTTCCTCTCCTTTGTATCTGCACATTAGCAGTTTTAGGAAGAAAGACTTGAGAAATGAGGCCTCCTGGTGGCTCAACAGGGCCAGTTCAGATTGCACATGGAGATTGAGTTCAGTCTTTCTACTTTATTCAGTGGCAACAACTTTTTGCTTCCAGGAAATGGGCTTCTCTTTGTAGTTACCCCAGGACACTTGGAGACTATCCTCCCCCTCATCACTTAGCCCCTCCCGCACCAGGCCCTACCCAGCCTACGCTAGCTGCCTTGAGGCCCCTCGCCCTGCACCATGAGTCCTCCCCAGGAGAGAGGCCTGGGGCCCCCTGCTGCCAAGCCACCGTTGGCAGGGGCCTTCGAAGCTTGTGTTAATACAGGGAGAAGCATTTGAACCCAAAGGCCCATGGGAAGTTGGGGGACGCCCTCCCTGCCCAGAACTGTATCTCCTGAGGTCCTCTTCTCCAGTGGTGTCTATGGTGGCCAGTTTCTTGGTATCAAACCGGACATTTTTTGGTTCTCAACTCTCATTAGAACTGCTGGGGGCACAAAGCTCTCCCCTGCCCCCCATGAGACTGGCTAGGTCACGAGAGAGCTGCCGTGGACAGGTACAGGCAGGGGGCCCCTGGAAGAAGGTAGGCCAGACCTCATGTCCAAATGGGGGAAAGCCCGGGCCTATGGGTGGCAGCCCGAGGCAGGGCCTCTTGCTCCTCCTGGTTCTTCCTAGGTCATCATGGCCGCACTGACACTCCACTCCCTCTGGAGTCATATCCCTAGGACCTTGTGCTTCTGGGAGATTCGGCATCACCCTGTCCAGGTGAATAAGCGAACATCTCCACCTTTGTGGCAGAAAGTGCATTTTCATCCTGAGAATTTGAAATAATGTGACAAACAGTGATGATAAATTCTTTAGCTGCAAAAAATGGAAATAGTATAAACCTAGTAAGCATTTGAGTCTGCAGGAAAATTAGTCTTGAGGTGCTGCTGCTCACTTGATGTTTGTAGGTCTTCCAGAACAGAGCTAGTCCAGCCCAACCACTCTGTAGTAGCACCAGACAGTCTCATCCGAATCACAGGGCCTGGCTTCTGGAGCCAGCTTCTTCAGGGAGCCCGGCTCTCCTAACCCTACCTGTGTGCCCTGTCTCTTCATCTGTATGGTTGCTTCAGAATGGAATAAACTCCTTAGAACAGTGCCTGGAGCTTACAAGCTCTGGAGGTGTGAGCTAGTGTGATTATTAAGTCTTTTGAAATCGATCAGTAGCTACAGAACTCTGGCTGAGATAAATTCACAAACAGGTGGAGTGAGTTGCTGGGCCACATGGGAGTGGTAGTGCTGAGGATGGGGCTGTGATTGGATGTGTGGCCTGCATACAGGTCTGGGTGTCTGAGAGACTGCAGTGGTAGTGTGAGTCACATGACACCACCCCACCCTGGGTCTCCACACCTCTCCTGAGCTGCCCTTCCCCTTTTCCTACAGATTTCCCTATGGATATAGAAGCCATTTCTCCATTCTCTTGTGGGAAAATGGGCCCAGGTGATACTCACTCCCCAAGGTTTGAGAGCACATTTGCTGTTGGAGATACACATGGGGCGGAGAGACAGCAATAGGCATGAGCCCCTGGCAAGGGCAGCTGCCTCTGGTCTGCAGTGCAATGCAGGGCTTATGCCCACTTGAGATGTTTACATAGAGTGGGATTTGGGAACCGTTTCCTCTGGGTTCTTGACCTCTTCCAGCCAGTTCTGAGAAGCCAGGAAGTTCTGGCCAAGGAGCCCCATCTGAACATCTCAGAAGCACACCCTGCTACTCCAAGTAGCAGGTGGGGAGGTACTTAGGCGGCCTCTTACCTGTCTCCACAGACCTGGCTGGGGTACTCAGCTGCTGGCCACTGGGTAGCCCTGGGACAGAGGGGTTCCGCCAGGCATCATGGGCATGTGGGACACACTGGATGCAGCAGGGACAGTGCTAGGTGGCACAGTTAGAGTTTTAACTAAAATTTTAAAACCATGTAATAACAGTCCCTCAGTTAGGTGTGGGTTACACTCCACAATTGTGTGGGTGATTATTGCTGGGAGCAAGGTACCTTTTCCCAGGATGTGTCTGTGGGCCAGGTTCCAGGCAGATCCCAGAAGCACATCTTACTTTGTGCAAGGCTGTGCTGTCAGCCAGTGGCCTGTGGAGGACAGTGAGCTCTAACGTGAGGTGCCTGAGCACACTTTCCAACCCTAGTCCCTGGGGCGCCACAGAGGTTGCCAGGCAGGGTCAGGGTTCCTACCCAGGCCTTCCCTGGCTGGCCCTAAAGACCAGAGTGTGGCTGTTGACCGTTCAGGCACTGGTTTGGGGGTGGGGCCATTGCCATCTTAACTAGAAGCACACTAGCTGCAGATGTAGCCACGCCTATGCTGTTTCAGCCGGTGTCCAGGACTAGCTTCTGAGCAGTCTCCTTTCCAGCCCGATCTAAGCTGAGAGGTCTGAGAGGCAGTTCATTGACTTGTGCAGTCTCCTCTCTCTTTCAAGTGCAATGTTTGGACTGGACCCACTTAAATTGCCATCATGTCTGGCTTCTGGGAAAATTCTGTAGTACAGCAACTCATAGTGAGAGTCAATTAAGATTTACTTTAATATGAGATTTAAATATAACTAACTCAAAACAAATTCTATGAGTAAAAGGAGGAGACATTGGGACTTCTCTTTACCATTAGTGTTTGCTAATTGTCAGTCTTAGGAAGTGAACTTAAATCTTTAAAAAGCCAATTCAAGAGTCCAGACTTAGGACAGCATTTCAGCTACTTAAGTGCATCAGTTTGTCCCCAGCACAGAAGGGGATGAGCCACCCCACCATCTTCACATCTTTCCAAAGCTCGTGGGTCAGTTTGCTCCCTTGATGGCTGGGAGAACTAAGTGAAAAATACATTTGATTTTTAATCAACTTCCGTAATTTCAGAGCAGTAGAGAGTGACTCACTTAATATTTATTGGCGCCACCGGACAGCTGAGTGGAGGGAGAGGTCAGATCCCCAGGGGGGATCCAGCAGGTGCTCAGGCCAGGGCCACAGGAGTCTGCCTTCTGGATGTCCAGGATTGGAGTCCTGAGCCCAGCACCACATCCCAGCCACTCCAGCAGAGCATCTTGTACACACAGAAGTGATACTAAGGTCTTACAGGACACAGTGCTGGGGACCCAGTGCTCTGTGACTTTCAACCAGTTCCCGCCTTCTGTTCTCTTTCTACTTTCCTTTGGTTTATCCTGTTCGTGTTTGATTCAAATACAAAAAGGTACAGATAAAAACAAAAGCATCCACACACTCAGTACCCAGAGCAAATAGATGTGGATGTTTTGTCACACTGCCTCAGATTCTGGAGAGCTGTGCGTTTGTGGTCTCCTTGAGGCTGGGGCTGCTTGGTGTGGTCCTGTCTTGGTTCTGAGGATGTAGGGGGAATGAAGGTTCTTCATCCTTGCCCAGAGCAAGGTAGCCCTTTGTGCAGAGATGGGATGTTCTGCTATCTTAGAAATCAGGGCTCAGAGGCCTTTGTGCGCATGGTGTCTGCAGCCAAGGGGAGCACAGCATGCAGGTGCAGTCTGGGTCAGAGTTGTTGCCAATAGCTTCCAGGCAGCATCGGCTGGCTTTCCTCAGCTCCCCAGGCAGGGTCAGCTGCAAAGCAGGGGCGATACTCAGACCACTTGGCCCTGGGTCCTGTGTGCCATTACCACAAACCTCCCTGACACAACCACTGTTAGGCCCATGCACCTTGGTGACCAGGTCTGGAGAAATGTCTGTGTGTCCACATACACATCGTGACTCTCATCAGCAAGGAGGCTTTCAGAATGGCTCAGTCAGGAAGAGAATGTATGGCTCCTGGCTCACTCTTGGAGCTTAGATCCCTTCTGGCCCGCCCTCCCTTGGCCACCAAGGACCCACTTCCATCCTTCAGAGCCATCAGAATCTTGGGTTTTAGTGTCTGGCCCATTGCCTGATGCTCCAGTTCTGATGATGGCACATGAGAAATGAGGCCTTTTCATTTTCTTTTCTCCAGTTTTTTCATTGTGAAGTAGTCTAGGTTGGGTGGGTGTGACCTCCCAGAAGAGCTCTGGTCAGCCGCTTCAGGCTGCAGGTTAGGCGGTCTTGGCTGCTGACCGAGGCTTCTAAGTGTGGGAAGTGGCGTAGTCCCCGAGCTCCCTTTCAGCTGTCCACAAGCTGTCCCCGTGTTCACTGGTCACTGTCCCCCACACCACCCCATCCTCCTCTGCTGTCTGTGTCTGTCCTAGCACTCCTGCAACTATGGTGTGCGGTTCTGGGTGTTGGGGTGTTCTAACTAATGGACCTGTCTTCTTCCTTCTGTGCTCACCCCTGCTACCCGCTCTGCCTCTCAGATCTTGCAGTTTTCAAGGACCGACTGCGTATGCTGACAGTAGGAGGTATGAACATGCGAGTGTCCCCTTTCTGGAGCTGAGGGCTTCATTCGGACAGGGTGTGCGGCTTTCCCCAGCATGCACCTGGAGGAAAGCTGATGCAACTGTCCATTGTTATGAAGTATGTTTTCCCATTGTTAGCTCTTAGCAGGGAGAGCCCCTTCTCTGTCACCTTTGTTCTTCTCCATTTTGTGTCATGAAAGCATTTTCACCTTCATGTGTGTCTCCCCACGGCTTCGCTGAGCCCCCAGCAGCAGTGTAGGCTGCCACCCGCCCCATGGTAGCCAGTGGGGCTTGGGCCACACCACCTTCTAAACACTGGCACACCCCCACGCCAGGGCACCCCCCCCCCGCCATTGCCTACCCTCCCTGTGCCGGCGCCCCCATGCATCCCCACCCCCACCACGTTCTGTGCCCACCTTTGGCTGGACTCTGGATTCTCTCAGACTCTGCTTCCTGGTCATTTTCACAGGATTTCCTTCTTGGTCTTCCTGTGTTTGAAGGACAGCTGAAATATTGATAAAAACATGTGATAAAATAAGACCCTTGGCTCTGGGCAGAGTGCCTCTGAAGAATCCAGAGCCACCTGCCGGGCCCGTGCACCTCTTGTCACTCGCTCAGGCAGCTTCCTCTGTGCCAGGCACCTCTCGCAAGTCCCCCTCTTCCTCGTCTTACTCATTGGTCAGGCTCTGGTTTTGATTAAACCTTTTCTTTTCAGGTAACTGTAGATTCATTTGTAGTGTTACATCCCATGTGCCTTTCAGCCAGTTCCCGCAGTGGCAGGATTGAGTAAATCCTAGCCCATCACATGGGTGCTCTGGCCCCACAGGGCCCTTCCTGCTGCCCTTCGTAACCATGCCCATGTCCTCTCCCTCCCACCCCCGGGTCAACCCCTGGCAATCACTCCTCTTCTCCCCATTTCTGTAATTTTGTCATTTCAAGACCATTACACGGATGGAGTCAAAATAGGGAACATTTTGGAATTGGCATTTTTCTACCGGCATGGTTCCTGGAGTTGGGTCCAGGCTGCAATACTAGCATATTCCTTCCCCTGCCAAGCAGCACCCTTGCCTCATGTGCCCCACAGTTGTACTAACTAGTCATTCATTGAAGGGCCTTTGGGTTGTTTCTATTCTTTGCCTAATAGAGTCTTTTGCTGAGTAAAATTTTAAATTCTAATAAAGTCCATTGTATCGATATTCCCTTATATGGATTATGTTTCTGGTGTCAAGCCTAAGAATTCTTTCCTTGGCACTCAGTCCCAAAGATTTTCTTCCATATATTTTCCTGAATATTTTATAGTTTTATATTTAACCTGTGATCCATTTTGAGTTAATGTCTGTATAAGATATGAAGCTTAGGTCAAGGTTTTGTGGTGGGGTTTCTTGTTTTTGCCTACAGATGTCCAGTTGCATCAGCACCGTTACCTGAAGTTTGTCCTTCCTTCAGGGAATTGCTTTTGTACTTTTGTTAAAAATTGGCTGGAGTTGGCTGTGGGTCAGGTTCTTTCCTATAATCTGTGTCTGCCCTTCCGCCAGGACCACATTATTTTGATTACTGAACTTTTTTCAGTAATCAGTAAAGTAGATGCTGAAGTTTTTTTTTCTTCTTCTTCAGTATTGTCTCAGCTGTTCCAGGGCCCTTCTCTTCACATAAACTTTACTTAGAGAAAGTTTTTATTTATGAATTACTTCCTCGTCTTACTCATTGGTCAGGCTCTGGTTTTGATTAAACCTTTTCTTTTCAGGTAACTGTAGATTCATTTGTAGTGTTACATCCCATGTGCCTTTCAGCCAGTTCCCGCAGTGGCAGGATTGAGTAAATCCTAGCCCATCACATGGGTGCTCTGGCCCCACAGGGCCCTTCCTGCTGCCCTTCGTAACCATGCCCATGTCCTCTCCCTCCCACCCCCGGGTCAACCCCTGGCAATCACTCCTCTTCTCCCCATTTCTGTAATTTTGTCATTTCAAGACCATTACACGGATGGAGTCAAAATAGGGAACATTTTGGAATTGGCATTTTTCTACCGGCATGGTTCCTGGAGTTGGGTCCAGGCTGCAATACTAGCATATTCCTTCCCCTGCCAAGCAGCACCCTTGCCTCATGTGCCCCACAGTTGTACTAACTAGTCATTCATTGAAGGGCCTTTGGGTTGTTTCTATTCTTTGCCTAATAGAGTCTTTTGCTGAGTAAAATTTTAAATTCTAATAAAGTCCATTGTATCGATATTCCCTTATATGGATTATGTTTCTGGTGTCAAGCCTAAGAATTCTTTCTTTGGCACTCAGTCCCAAAGATTTTCTTCCATATATTTTCCTGAATATTTTATAGTTTTATATTTAACCTGTGATCCATTTTGAGTTAATGTCTGTATAAGATATGAAGCTTAGGTCAAGGTTTTGTGGTGGGGTTTCTTGTTTTTGCCTACAGATGTCCAGTTGCATCAGCACCGTTACCTGAAGTTTGTCCTTCCTTCAGGGAATTGCTTTTGTACTTTTGTTAAAAATTGGCTGGAGTTGGCTGTGGGTCAGGTTCTTTCCTATAATCTGTGTCTGCCCTTCCGCCAGGACCACATTATTTTGATTACTGAACTTTTTTCAGTAATCAGTAAAGTAGATGCTGAAGTTTTTTTTTCTTCTTCTTCAGTATTGTCTCAGCTGTTCCAGGGCCCTTCTCTTCACATAAACTTTACTTAGAGAAAGTTTTTATTTATGAATTCAGTTTCCTCACAGTCATGGAACTCTTCAGATGACCTATTTCATGTTGAGTGTGTTATTCCAGATGTGGCTCATTCCACCTGAGTTGTCAAATGTTTATAAAAAGCATTGTTCATAGTATTTTCTTAGGGTCTTCTCTGCATGTGAGGGTCTGTATGCAGATCCCATTTCATTCCTGATATTGGTCATTTGTGTCTTCTCTTTTTCTTTATTACTCATTAAAAGTTTGTCAGTGTTACTGATCTTTTCAGAGTATGGGGTCCCTTGTTTTGTTGATTTTCTTGTTGCTCTGCTGTTTTCAATATCTTTGGTTTCTGCTCTTGATTATTTTCTTCTTTCTTTGTGGGTTTCTTTACCCCTCCTTTTTCTAGGTTCTTTTGGTGGGAACTTAGATGGCCAATTAGAAGCTTTTCCTCTTTTCTGCTGTGTGCATTTCCTGCTGTAAATTTTCCTCTGAGGGCTGCTTTAGCTTCCCAAAAACTTTGATGTTGTCTTTCATTTTCATTCAGTTAACTGTATTTTTGTATTATCCCTTGATATTTCCTCTTTGACCCATGGATTATTTAAAATCATGTTGTTTAGTTTACAAGAATTTGAAGGTTTTCCTTTTATCTTTCTGCTATTGATTTCTAGTTTGATTCCATGTGGTCAGAGAACGCACTCTGTATGATTTCAATTATAATCAACTTGTTGGGGTTTTGGGGGGCCCAGCATATTGTCTGTCTTGGTGTATGTTCCATGAGTACTTGAAAAGAATGTGTATTCTGTTGTTGGATGAAGTGCTCTATAAATATCCATTAGATCCTGCTGGTTGATCATTGTTGGGTCCTTGTATATCCTTGCTCATTTTCTATCTATTGTCAATTAGTTGTTGAGAGAAGTTTTGAAGTCTCCACCTATAACTGAGTTTGTCTACTTCTCCTTCTGTCCTCAGTTTCTGGTTCACATATTTTGCTCTGTTGTTTGGTACACACACATTTAGTATTACAGTGTCTTTTAGGTAGATTGACCTTTTATCGGTGTATAACATCCCACTGTTTCTGGTAATTTTCTTTGCCCTGAAGTCTACTTTATCTGGTGATAATGTTGCCACTTTTGCTTTTGTTTGGTTGTGTTTACAGGATGTATCTTCTTCCATTTTATGATCAATCTGCCTATCTCATTATGTTTGAAGTATCTTAAATATAAGCCTATAGTTTGGCACTGTTTTTCTTTATTTTTTTGATATCGTTAATGTACAATTACTTGAACAACATTATGGTTACTAGACTCCACAGTAATCAAGTTCCCCCAACATACCCCATTATAGTCACTGTCCATCAGTGTAGTAAGATGCTATAGAATCATTACTTGTCTTCTCTGTATATACTGCCTTTCCCGTGTCCCAAAACCTGTAGCCCAAAGCCATTTTGTTTCATTATGTGATCAGACGGTAAGTGCAACGGGGCCCTAACGAAATATTTATAATATGGCTTTGTATCCTCAAGTATGTTGAAACATGAATACTCTGAGAACTGGACTTTAGGACTGTGATGAGTAAGGGTGACTGTATGGAAGCCTCAAAATTTTGATATAGGAAGGGCTTAGAAGTAAATAAATAAATAATAAAATTGAAGTGGGGGCTAGAGGAAGTTTTTCTTGGAGCTAAATTTGTTAGACAAGAGGAGAGTTTAATTCAAATTTGGAGAAGCTATGAGCATAACAACCTATGTTGAAAGTGTCATTTTAGATGTGGGAATAAATACCTTCCAACTGATTCATCATGCACACTCTCAGTTCCTCCGAAATTGAGATCACCACCTTCTTCCTGATTGGAATCCCAGGACTGGAGCGTGTTCGTTTATGGATCACTATTCCCATCTGACTCGTGTACCTGGTGGCCATCCTTGGCAACTGCACCATCCTGTTTGTGATGAGGACAGAGCCCTCACTCCACGCAACCATGTACTATTTCCTACCCATGCTGGCTGTTTCCGACCTGGGCCTGTCCCTCCCATCTCTCCCCACTATACTGAGGACCTCTGTTTTCAATGCCACAGGAATTTCCCCAAATGCCTGTTTTGCTCAATAATTCGTTATTCATGGATTCACAGATGCGGAGTCCTCAGTGTTCCTGGTCATGTCTTTTGACCGCTTTTGGCCATATATGACCCTCTGAGGTGTAGCTCCCTCCTCACCCAATGCCACAGTTACCAAAATGGACACAGTGTTTCTTGTTAAAATCATACTTTCAGTGCTGCTGTTTCCTTTCACTCTCAAAAGATTGACATATTGTAGGAAAAGCCTACTTTCTCACTCTTACTGTCTCCATCAGGATGTCATGAAGTTGGCCTGCTCCG